GAATATAAATAAAGTTAACAGACATAGAGAGCCAGCTTGGAAATCAAAACTGATACGAGAAATAAAACAAATCAGATGTGAACTTTCTATATTAGATGAGCCCAGCAGAAATCCTAATATTTCCACACGCAAGTGCAAAAAGATCGAGCGGAAATATAACAGTAAATCCCTAATTGACATTCCATCAATCACGGAAATACTGAAGCAGAAACTTTTGCTAAAGGAACAGAGAACAAGACGATACAAAAAACGTTGTAGGTTCTATCGCCAAAATAAAATATACCAAACGGACCTTAAAAGAATTTACAGGAAATTGAAAAACACCTATACATGTCGAAAGGACACCATCGATTAATTATGTGCAGATATTTTTGGAAAATATTTGGAGCAGCCCAAATGAGTATACCCAAATGCAGAATGGATCCGACGTAAAGAAGAAGGAATGCGGCATACACCTCTGCAAGAATGGGAAAATATATCCACAGATGATTTTATGCAAGCTCTAACGAAATCGCAAAAATGGAAATGACAAAGTGCCCAATTTATGGGTTTATTATCTCTCATCTATCCATAAAATCCTTGCAAAAACATGATCAACACTTGGAAATAATCTCAATGAAATCCCGGAATGGATTACTGAAGGTATGACATACCTCATGCCAAACCAAATGAAACAGAGGAACCGAAAAATTGTAGACCGATAACATGTCTCTCCAAAACGTATTAGTTGATCACCTCTGTCCTGAAGAACCGTACTTCTTCGAAACAAACAGTATTATTCCGCTGGAACAGAAGGGATGCATGAGGGGTTCATATGGCTGCAAAGATCAATTGCTGATAAATAAAATGATCCTGGAAAAATGCAGGAGATGACGTAGAAATATTAGCGCAGCGTGGATTGATTATCGTAAATCCTTTGATAGAGTTCCACATTCTTGGATCCTTAAGTTTTCCCTGTGGTATTAAATTTCCTTAAGCACAGCATGGGAATGTGGAACACCAAACTATACCTTCGTCACACCAGAGACACTGCCATATCTAAACGTCTAAATATCCGGCGTGGAATCTTTCAAGGAGATTCTCTGTCACCCCTTCTGTTTTGTCTGCCCTTAAGTCCCATTACGCATGAACTGAACAACAGTGGCTATGGTTACAAAATAAATAAGAATATATTCAATTACCTACACTACATGGATGATCTCAAACTCTTTGCCAAAGACGACAATGAGTTGATAGGCCTCCTCAATAGTGTAAAATACTTTAGTGATGACATAGGTATGGTCTTTGGATTAGATAAATGTGCAAAAGTAACATTCAAGAAAGGTAGAATTACAGAAACATCCTTAATAGATTTAGATTTTGTCACAAAGATTAGGCAACTCGAGCATGATGAAGCTTATAAGTACCTAGGAATTAGCGAAGGAGATGGCATACAACACCACCAAATGAAGGAGAAGGTAAGAAAGGAGTACTACAGGCGTGTACGTCTGGTAATAAATACGAAGCTAAACTCAAAAACAGAATATTAGCCATAAACACATTGGCTGTTCCTGTGGTGCAATACACCTTTAGTGTCCTTAACTGGACCATAGCTGAAATTACGCGAATGGACGCCAAAAAGAGAAAGCCTTTCACTTGCTACCGCATGCAACATCCTAAAGCTGATGTTGATCGTCTGTATGTGCCCAAATCCGAAGGAGGCAGAGGATTAGTTCAGCTAGAACAGTCCTACAAAATTACAACGATTGGCCTCCAAAGATATTTGGAAACTACAGAAGACTGGATGATGATATGCGTCAAGGAACATGAAAATAGTAAGCGTCTTTACTCCGTAATGAAAGAAGCCAACAAATTCAAAATGGAGTTCCAAATGGGCGTAGAGATGCAACTACAGCACAATACACCGGCTGAAACTGCAAAATACTTAAAAAAGACAGCAAAGACGAATGCAACCGACCAGATACAGAAGCGATGGCAAGATAAACCGCTTCATGGCCAATTCTCTGTCCGTACCAAAGCTGACGTAGACAAAACCCGTACACATCAGTTGCTACGTAGTGCAGGGTTGAAAGCTGAAACTGAATTTTTTATCCTTGCTGCACAGGACCAATTTTTTAACTAGGAATTATCAAACACATATACTAAAATATTGTGTTAGCCTAAAATGCAGATCCTGTGTTAAATATCTAGAAACGATTGATCATCTTGCATCAGGTTGCACAATATTGGCAGCCACTGAGTATAAGACCCGGCATGACAGAATGGGCCAATATCTGCACTGGAAAATTTGCAACTTCTACGGGAATAAAACTGAAAGTAACTGGTATGAACACCACCCAGACCCGGTTACGGAGATAGGACCTGTTACAATTCTATGGGACTACACAATACACACTGACAGAACAATCAAAGCCAACCGCCCAGACATTGTTATTAAAGACCACAAACAAAAAAAGTGTCTCCTTATTGATATGGCAGTCCCTGCAGAGTGCAATGTATTTTTAAAAGCTGTCAAAATAAAGGACCTTGAAAGAGAAACCTCAAAAATGTGGCACATGGGAACATCATTAATCCCTGCTGTAGTTGGAGCCCTAGGTTTGGTTGGAAAAGATTCCAGTAGACTAATTGAAGGGATTCCTGGAAGTCCATGCCTCAAGGAGATACAAAAATTGTTCTCTCAAGTACAGCCCACACTTTACGATGGGCTTTGTGTATGTAAAATATAAGGAAATAAGGAAATAAAAATACTACTACTAATAATAATGCTGTTTAATATTAGTAGCATTTCATTGTTTATGTCTGTCTCTATTTCGCTCTCTCTATATATACCTTCTCCCTATATGTCTCTCTCTTTATATATAATCCCTCTCTGTCTCTATCTCTCTGTCTGTCTGTCTGTTTTTCTGTCTGTCTCTGTCTCTTTCTCTCTCTCTCTCTCTCTTTCTAAGTGAATATGCATACCAAATTCTGGATAATAACGGCGAAGCTCGAGCTATTGCTCTAGATATATCGAAGGGTTTTTCATGTTGGCCTTCTACTTAAGCTTTTGGGATACGGTATTACACGATAATTATTTGATGTAATCTAATCATTCCCGTCTTACCGTGAAATGGAGGCTGTCTTGAAGGGGTTCCCTTCCAGTTCCTTTCATACGAAACCTCTATCCTTGGTCCTACACTGTTTCTTATCTTTGTCAATGATCTTCCTGTCGTAATTAGTCCACAAGTTGGCATCTACGCAGACGGCATTTACTCCTGTCTCAATAGTAAATCCGGCATTGCAGACAATGTTAACCTGGCCGTTGTTTCCGAAAACGACCTCCAATCTGTGGTTAACTGCGGTAGGAAATATTAATGTTTTTTAAGTGTGATTAAACTCCTTCAATTAAATAATTGAAAATCCAATGCTGGAAAATAAATTAAAAACATAATTTTAAATACAATACGTTTACATTCAAATGCTAATCTCGTTTATTTTAAGTGCCAAATATAATGTTTTGAGAAATTTAATTTACAAAATAATCTTTTTGCATGAAACTGAAAACGTGGTTTTACAGAATATCATGGACGAAGCAAATACGCAACGATGAATTCGTAAGGAAAATGTAACAAAAATGATCTTATAGTCAGAATGATAAAGAAACAGCTAATGTTTCTGGGACATATAAAATGAGATTTTCACAGGAAACATCGAAAGCAAAATCGACTAGTGATGGAACAGTTCATCTTACTAGCGAAGTTGTGCAAATTGTTTTAAAAACGTGAAGTGTGGGGGATAATAAATATGCAAACATTACATGGGCTACAAGGTCTTATCGCTTGTGGAAAGACGTTATGGCCTACTTTCCGAAGTGTCACGGGATATAGCAGAAGTTTTTAAATATCACGCAAATATTTAGCAGTTCGTCATGCGTTTTGTCTTCTGTTGTCCAATCTTTAAGAACTCTGGTGAATCGTCTGATTCTTTTATCTATCGGCGTATTAGCCTTCGACTTCATGTTGTCAAACTACTACATCCCTAATCAACTCTGAATTGGTTAAGCATATCACATCATAAAGACTTCCTTCAGGCAAGCAATATGGCTTTCCCTTGTCTAGGTCAACTATTGATGTATCAAAGATTATTCCTGAAACAGTTTATCATGCTTTAGATGAGAAAAGCGAAGATCGAGCTGTTACCTAGGACATCCCGAAAAAATTAGAAATGGTTTGGCATGCAGATCTTCTTCACAAGTTGAAAGGTATTTTCGGGTGAATTTTTGAATTGATTCAGTCTTTCTTACCAAATTTCAATATGAAGTTTATCCTGAAGGGTCACTTTTCTAGATATTTTTGTCATAATGCAGGTGTCTCCAGAGCTCTGTCATTGGGCCTACGTTGTATTTAATTTTCATCAGTGATCTTCCGGATGGAATCAGTTTTCTCTTCGATATCAATGCTGATGACACAATTATTTATTCTTGTTTCCATAGTAAATCTGATCAGTCCGATATGTTTAAATTAGAAGCTGATCTCAAAATAACATACGATCTGCAGTTTACTGGGGGTAAGGAATGGCTTCTTAATTTTAACGCATCCAATTTCTATTAAAATTCAAAAAAGTATCAGTACTATAATAGTCCAGATCTAGCGTCTCGGCTTCAGTCACTTTTCCACGTTCTTAATATTGCCTGTGACTTTTCCATAAATATTTTCATGGTAATTATTCGTGTGAAATCTCTCTTGTGGTACCTAGACTTTAGGAATTCATGAGCAGTACTAGATTAGCAATAAGATACCATCAATTTATGCTTGAATTGGCTACATATAATCGTGAGTCCTATGCTAACAGATTCTTTTATTTAAAATAATTTAAATGCAATTTCAATCATCATCTAATGGCTTCTTCATCACACATTTTCTATTGATTTTTGTTACTTCATAATATTTTTCATTTTTTTTGTTATTGTTGCCCACTCAGTAGCCCCTTATGTCTTAGAGACTTTACTACCTTGTTTCGTTTTAAATGATGAAGCTATATATAGATAGATAGATAGATAGATAGATAGATAGATAGATAGATAGATAGATAGAGTGGAAAAAGTATAATTGTGGCGAGTTTCGGCCTTTAGTACTTCATCTGACTAAATTTTGTTATATTGGTAGGACTGCACATGCGCACCAACGGGAGGTACTGGTAATTTTAGATTTTATTTTTTATCTAGCCAAATCCATTTAGGGTGTTTTTTCCTAACATGTTGCAGACAAAAAACTAACGTTCATCCGAAAACGGTTTATATATCGGAATATAGAACTGTTGTACATGTTTTTTTTAAGTAATCCAGAGTATAACAATCTTTCTCCCGATAATTCTTCTAACATGGCAACTAATATCTGATAATGTTTTCCTCTTAACCAAAATAAATAAATAAATAAAAAATAACGATCTGTCTTCATCTCGACAGTATTTTAAGCCGTTCGTGTTAGTTAATTGCGTTTACTTTTGTTTCAATCGATATCCTTAATATATTCTTTTTTACCTGTTGATAGGGGATATTCACGCTTAATGATTTTTCAAAAATGCGTGTTTACTTATTATAAATTCTCCCCAGATCTGTTTTGAATTTTCCCATTTTACAAGAAGAATGCTTCTGCATGTCGACACTTCGACGTACTTTAATTATTTTATGTATTTAATTATTCACCTTATATAATTCTATAATTCTTCTCTATGCATGAATTAAATATTCTGTCTCTGTTTCTCTTTATTGTTAAACCTGTACACACATTCCTACTTATTTCATTCGTTTTAAGCCTTACATTCTGCAAATTAAATTATTTTTAAAAACAAAAACAAAACAACAACCGTATATTTATCCATTAGTCACGTATTATTTAAATCACATATAATAGAGCAAGGATTAATCTCGTAAAAATTGAAACTGGCGTGCGGGTGGAAACCAGGGAATTCGGCACTTGTTTCTATACGGGACAGAGATTATCAATTCAAAGATATATGATTCTCTCTGTTGTATGAAGAGATTAGGTATGTAATACTAAGAAAATGGAAGCTGTATTACAAGGGAAATCAGTTTTACTACAGTTGAATAACGAAAGCCCATTACTGATTCTATTATGTACATGATATCGAAAGTAAACGAAAATGAAAACATTGCATTAAACAAGGGAAAATCTCATATCGATTATAAAATGAATCGAGGTGGGGTGGAGATAACTGAAGTGAATCTTCACATAAGATAACTCATCCTCTTCTAACAAAAAGGGAAAATAAAACATTTGTCTCGATGTATATGTATACTTAAAGGGTGCGATATGTAAATTGTCGTCTAAATTACGCAACAATGAAAGTAACACTTACATCTCATTTTAACATATATATTTACTAAAATTGCACAAAAAATATCTTAAAATACTAAAGAATCCATTTAATCCATAAAACGCCATTTGATTCAACCACGGCCTCCAAACGACTTCGGAATCTCCTGCATCTTTTCTGGAATGTCTCCTTGGTGAATGCTTCCATAATTCTAGCTTTCATTTCACTTTGGTGTTACAAAGAGTTTTTTTTTGTTTTGCTCAACTAAGGGGTGATGTGGTCACAAAAATCGTCTGAGAGTTGTGACTGTGTTCTCCTGCTCATCTGTCATGGTACAGTGTCTTGGTCTCAGACATTGGGTCTTCCTACAACCACCCTCTCCCAGGGCAGAACTACCTCCTCAAAGCATTTGTTTCAGGTATCCGTCTTGAGTGAGGTCCTGTGGGAAGATAAATGTTTGCATAACGTCGGCATCACTAGTGATCACTCCAAAACATCATCGTAATCATCATTAAACTCATCCAACTCTTTCCGAATCCATTGCAGTGTCCTCAGATGAACACCTAAACACTCTGTAATGTTAGTATTGGAGCTTCAGGAGCGAATACCAAGCAGTACAGTATGCCGTTTCCAAATTTCTGCCGAAGGGAAATGTGCTATGGTGCTCTTTTTCACACAAACGGTACCTAACTAACCCTACTATACAGGGCAATCGACAAAAGGAAATAACGCGCATGCGTGAAATTAAAAATATAAAATGGCGAAAATTTACATCTCGCACACAGTATATTTACATATATTTCCAGTTTTCAGGTCTTATTTTTTTAACAAATATTTATCAAGGCAGATATTTATTGGAACGGGTGCCATAGAATGTTAGATTCTCAAACCATTTCTATTTACATAGGCGTGGAAAGTGTTTTAAGAGAATGCGACACAGAAATCCGAACATGTATTGTGCAATATAAGATGCATTTCAAAAGCTAAGCAAAGTAGTATGAAACAGGAAAATCTCATTAGATATAATGAAAAGAGTACTAGATTGCTATGTGCTAGCCGTATTCTTGCATGGCAGGGAATACTAGACAATCTTCACACAGAAGAAATAAAACTGGATACAACAGAAATCTGGCTCTACAGAAGGATACTGGGAATTCCATTGTCGGAGCGAGTAAATGGCCACAAAAAAAACCCCAAAAATCACTTATATTCAAAACCGAAAAAGACAATGATAAATAAGAAAAAACATCAACCTACAACAATCAGTGTGCCTGAAGGAAAAAATAGCCATAATTACCTTCCCAGACCAAAACAAACAATATGAAAATAAACGATCGAAAGTCATCTGAAAATGAAGACGCGGACACAAATTTTTACTCCGCTACTTAAAAATCGAAAACTGAAAACGAACAATAAATGAAAATAAATAAAAAAAAAAGAAGCAAAATAAAATAATCCAGGCAAATAAATAAACTAATAACAAACAAATTAACAAAACAAGCCCACCAAAATGACCGTTAGAATAGTACAACAGTTTACCCACAATGCAATAGACTAACAACAATGCATCACTGAGCTGTATATATATATATATATATATATATATATATATATAAAGTCGAGTAAATACACAACGCAAATGAACTGATGATTGCGTTTAACATGGAACAGACTCTCGACTTTGAGTGTTGACTTGAATGTTCACTTTTGTGAGGAAAACAACTCACTTCTTTTTCATCACATCACATGCTAAAAACAGCCCATCTTTCTACAGTTACCAAAATGGTCCGACAATTTTTGCTACCACTTAAATACACGTGAAACATCTTTCCCACCTCCTCAACCTATAACTCTCTTCATCTATGTTTGCAATCTCCCTCCCCGACGACATACACTAGTAATAATAGAGCAGGCTAACTCTTACATTAATCAAAATTTTAAATTTGAGTTTATTTTCATAAAATTTTGACACATCGAAAAATCAGAGATCGTGTTTTTGCTAACAATACGATTTTCACTGGAAAACGTACTATCTACAAAAACAGCTATCAGTAAACAATTCCCATTTCTCTGTTTATTTCTCGGTCCGTTGATGAAGGACACCGTCTGTTTATAATAAACAGTTTTAACAATGTTTACGGGACTGAATGTCTGAGAAATCTTCATAGAAAATATGCGTCCTCCGACAGGAATCGAACCTGTATCCTATACGGAACCGTCATATAGCCTGACGTGCTTTTACCGATCGAGCCACAGAGGAGCGTTGATTTTACTATACTATTAAATATATCTATAAAAAAGAATGTATAAACATAAAAATGTCTTCAAATAATTGTCGGACTTTTTCTATTCCATAATGTGTTATGTCGTTTGTTTACATTTTGATACGCATCGAGCAGATATGAATGTACGTGATAAATTCATGGACAATTATAGTTTAAAAATAGTAAAATCGACCTTGCTGACCGACCTCTGCGGCGAAATCGGTAAAAAGCACGCCAGTTTCCTCGTTTCCTCTGATAATTTCTCGAACATTTACGTCGGTAAATTTTGTTAATACTTTTTATTATAAACAGAGCATTTGCTTAAATATATGTATCTATAAAGAAAAGAATGTATAAACATAAAAATGTCTTAAAATAATTGTCGGATTTTGTTCATTTCATAATATATATATATATATATATATATATATATATATATATATATATATATATATATATGTGTGTGTGTGTGTGTGTGTATATTTACGAAATTAGAAAATTCAAAAGATGTTCACTTGCGTTTTTTATTAGCAATAAATAAACAACTAATAGATAAGATACAAAACATTCTTTATATAATAGCTGAACATTATATTCTCATGAAAATTACCTTAAACATGCTATGTTAGATTCTTTAAAATAATATATTTTTGTCGAAACCATGTGAACGAGTATATTACAGAATAATACCCGTATATTGCGAGGGTTTGTATGTGTGTGGTTCTGTGTACAAATGTCTGGGTATTTAAATAATCAATTTTCCGAAGAAGACATTTGTGAAACCAGAATTGATTTCTTCTCAGCTTAAATTCCCTGTAACCTCTATTCAAGAGGTCAGACAGCCAATTGTTTCAGATTATTTATGTTTTTGTTCACTCATTTTTAATGCTTCTAAATTAAGAAAACAATAAATTTACTATTATTACTCTACCTTCGAATAAAGTAAAATAAATTTGGTAGATCGGTTTATATCAATCATTAAACCACCTTGGGTTTTCCATCAAGGAGGTCAAATTTTAACTTTTTATCTGGACTTGAATAAAAAACCATGGGAACCGTGTTGATATATAACCATTCTATAATATCGTCGGCAAAATAATGAAATAATGTTAAACCATATGTTCCTGATGCTGAAAATATTCCAATATAAATGATATATGAAAATAATAATGTGGGCGCCTCAAGGCAGTGTAATGGTTAGCAAGCTTGTCTCGCTAGAACATTTACTACTGAATAGTGAGATCGGTCCTCGCTGGGTGCTCCTACTTTTGGCCTTGTGCCACATCTAAGCTCCGCTTCGAAAATCACTATAAAAATAATAATATTAAAATACTTATAATAATAAAATATAATATAATACTAATAATAATAAAATATACCTTACGGTCATATCACATTAAAAAATACCAGTTCCCGTACGATCACCGAAGCTAAGCAACGTCGATCCTTGTTAATATCTAGATGGACGACCTCTATAAGGGTGGATGTGTTGGTGGTGTAAACGTTACTGGTTTGGAATTGTTAATCGAAGAGCGGAGTTCCAAGTCCTGTTTGAACGTTATATTTCCTTTCCCGCAAATAAACTTGGGAAAGGCAAAAATCTTCTCCATTAAGTTATGGGCTAATTAGCAAGATTTGTATCACTAACTAAGGAAAATATATTCTGGCTATAAATAACCTTCAGAAGGTTGATAAACTGTAGAAAACGAATCAATTTATCAAAATCAATACGAACATATTTACTAGAGACAAAATAATCAATAACTTAAACTCAGAAAGGGTTGAAATATATGGAATAAATTATGGGAAAAACGGCCCGGGAAATTTAACATTCGTCGGACATGTTTAAAGTAGGGTAGGAAGGAGCAAATATTGCGTACCCACAGATTGAATTTGTCTCAAACGAAAATAGAATGATAAAAACAAGAACAGTAAAAGAGAAAAAGGTTCATAGAGTTTGAAGGGACAGAATATGGTCGAGTGACATAATCGGCCACGCGCAGAAGGTACACGTCTGATTCGGGCAAAATAATTACATTCCCATCGAGTTTATTAAGTAAGTTCAACACTATGAAAACTCATTGCCCTAGATGTTCATAAAATATCTTAAAAATCAACTCAACAAAAATAACAGTTCCCAGTTTTATGTATAATTATATATGTTTAATACATGAGGGAGGGCCGAGCAAGATTTCTGAAACTGATATACTAATGACGAAACATAAGATGTTAAGGAAGAGATAAAATAACTTGAGCTTGAAAAATATTATGTCATGTGTGTTCAATACATATAAGGAAAAACATATAACATTCTTTGCTGCAGGTTATTCCTGCATCGTTGTCTGTTCGATTTCTGTGATTAAATGCTAAATGAAAGCTTGGGTGAATTTTCAGGGAAAGACATCGTGCTATTATATATATATATATATATATATATATATATATATATATATATAGTGCGATTAAACATTTTACTAAATTTTTACATCATTCGTACAACTGTCGAAATATTCTATATATCCAAGTCATTGACAAGGTTTTCTTTTAAATTTTGATTGAATATGTAGATTTTTATACATTTATATATGCTATGATGGAAATATTTTTCTTTTATTTTCCGAACATGGTCAACAACTTGCGACCGTGTTCATAATTGTTGTTACTGAGTGTTAGCATTTTGTTTTTTAGTACTTATGCTTCCATTATTTGTAATCGATTTTTATATGTGGATGAGGTTATTAAATTCGATTTTTCCACATGTTACTGACGGGGTTTGGTAGGTTTTCATGTTTAAATGTCCCCACAACACGCATATATATATATATATATATATATAGAGAGAGAGAGAGAGAGAGAGAAAGAGAGAGAGAAAGAGACAGACAGACAGAGACAGAGACACACATACATACATATATATATATATATATATATATGTATGTATGTATGTATGTATATGTATATATGCATGTTTCATTAAAAACGACAGACAAGGTACTACGGCTGAGCTTTTTATTTAATTTTTCTTGTGTTCTGACAAGAGCTTTCTTTTCTGGACAAAGAGTGTGTAAGAACTGTCCGAATGTTCTGTATTTCCGAGCGCTTTCGGCTATACCTTTAGCCATTATCAAGGATGATTCAATTATCAGCTTAGTAGAGTGTGTGTGTTCTGTGTATGTTCAGTGTGTGGTAGTGATGTTTTTAGTTTCCGAATACGGTTAGCACATTGTGGCTTTGTTCATAATTAATATTGTTAAGAGTTGGCTTTTTCTTTTTTATTATTAGAGCTTCCATTATTTTTAGTCTTTTTTTGCAAGTGGATGCAGTTAATATATTTGTGTTTTCTACTTACACAGAACACACACACTGCTTCTAAATTCTTTAAAATGTTGTTTGTTTGCACTTCATTCAATTGATCAACAACCCTGTTGCATACAAACTTTAGTCCATGCCTTCGTTTTCCGTGTGATTTAAATTTTGTTGGAGTGTATTTTTTTTATTTTAATATTTGAGTGAACATCTTATATAACAGTGAATGCTAGACCCATGGCTCACAGATGAAGAGAGGCATCGATAAAGGGTGCTGCCATTGCTATAAGTATGCTGCTAATGCCATGACGCAACATATTGCCAAAGAATTTTAAGCAAAGCAACAAAAAATCTAATATAATTTACTGCGATACAAAATGAAAAAATAAGACTTGGAGAAATTTACACTCACGGGATTTAATGGAGGAGATACTCACAGTGAAAAACATCAAGTAACCTACTTAATCAGCTAGGTTAAATGGATAGTTGAACAGGAAGTTGCAGATATAAGAGAAAACTAGGAAGCTGTGGAGAGCCTTGAGGGTCCACCTATGTAAGGTGCACGTCACTTAAAAGAAGTGTATTGAGTTAGTGAGAGCCTGTGTATATATATAATTGTACGTGCTTGTTCATATATATGTTCCCTTTTTCAATGTGTGAATGTAAGAAAGTGTAGTCTATAGACACACAATCAAACACCAAGAATCATCTTGCTGTCTACCTTTTTAGGTAGAATCGAATCTTAGGTCACATACTATCGACACCATATGTTTACCTACTCGATGCACGGGGACTTGTTTACGGTCATTCATTACTTGCATAACACGATGTTAAAATTTGGAATCAGACAATTTTAACAGGAATGTATTGATTTAATTTCCACAGTGTATCAACCCTTAGGGTTTTTTTTAAAGCTGAAAATATATTTTGATTGCAAGAACAATTATTCATTCTTTTTCAGTGAATATTTCATTAAAATATTTTTGCGGATACCAATAGCATTTCCAGAGACAATTCATACTATTTAACCCATAGTTAAAGGGAAGAGATGTGTTTATACCTATCCCAATGTCACATGTGACATTGGGGTGTATATAAACACATCTATGGGATTATATCAGTGCGTGAATGAGAATATTTCTAGCGGTTATAACAACGTTTCACATGTGCACCCTTCAACTGTTTGTCGATCTGGGTAAACCACAAAGTTGAACCCATTATTTTTTTTTTTGCGGGTATATGTTCCTCGTTCCGATCTCACTGTCTAGGGGTATCTGGAAAGCAGTTCTCTTCGACAGGCAGGTTTGATTTAAGGCTGAGAATTCTCCATTCAGAGTTCATAAACTAACATTTTAATTCAAAATAATCTAGTGGATTCATGCACTGGCTGATGAATATGGCAATATGGGTAACAGAAACAGGTGAATATGGTAATATGGGTTTAAACCCTGGGCCGGCGTTGGGAATCTGGTCTCAGTAGCAGGAACAGGTGAATATGGGAATATGGGTTCAAACCTTGCGCCGGCGTTGTGAATCTGGCCTCAGTAACAGGAACAGGTGAATATGGCAATACGGGTTCAAACCTTGGGCCGGCGTTGTGAATCTGGCCTCAGTAACAGGAACAGGTGAATATGGCAATACGGGTTCAAACCTTGGGCCAGAGTTGTGAATCTGGCCTCAGTAACAGAAACAGGTGAATATGGTAATATGGGTTCAAACCCTGGGCCGGCGTTGTGAATCTGGTCTCAGCAGCAGGAACAGGTGAATATGGGAATATGGGTTCAAACCTTGCGCCGGCGTTGTGAATCTGGCCTCAGTAACAGGAAAAGGTGAATATGGGAATATGGGTTCAAACCTTGCGCCGGCGTTGTGAATCTGGCCTCAGTAACAGAAACAGGTGAATTTGGTAATATGGGTTCAAAACCTGGGCCGGCGTTGTGAATCTGGTCTCAGCAGCAGGAACAGGTGAATATGGGAATATGGGTTCAAACCTTGGGCCGGCGTTGTGAATCTGGCCTCAGTAACAGGAACAGGTGAATATGGCAATACGGGTTCAAACCTTGGGCCGGAGTTGTGAATCTGGCCTCAGCAACAGAAACAGGTGAATATGGTAATATGGGTTCAAACCCTGGGCCGGCGTTGTGAATCTGGTCTCAGCAGCAGGAACAGGTTTAATATGGGAATATGGGTTCAAACCTTGCGCCGGCGTTGTGAATCTGGCCTCAGTAACAGGAACAGGTGAATATGGCAATACGGGTTCAAACCTTGGGCCGGAGTTGTGAATCTGGCCTCAGTAACAGAAACAGGTGAATATGGTAATATGGGTTCACAACCCTGGGCCGGCGTTGTGAATCTGGTCTCAGCAGCAGGAACAGGTGAATATGGGAATATGGGTTCAAACCTTGCGCCGGCGTTGTGAATCTGGCCTCAGTAAAAGAAACAGGTGAATATGGTAATATGGGTTCAAAACCCTGGGCTCAGCAGGAACAGAATATGGGTTGTGAATCTGTTCTCAGCAGCAGGAACAGGTGAATATGGGAATATGGGTTCAAACCTTGGGCCGGAGTTGTGAATCTGGCCTCAGTAACAGGAACAGGTGGAAAATGGTAATCTGGGTTCAAACAGGTGAATATGGCAATATGGGTTCAAACCTTGGGCCGGCGTTGTGAATCTGGCCTCAGTAACAGGAACAGGTGAATATGGGAATATGGGTTCAAACCTTGCGCCGGCGTTGTGAATCTGGCCTCAGTAACAGAAACAGGTGAATATGGTAATATGGGTTCAAACCCTGGGCCGGCGTTGGGAATCTGGTCTCAGTAGCATGAAGGCGTGAATATGGGAATACGGGTTCAAACCTTGGGCCGACGTTGTGGATCTGGCCTCAATAACTGACTAATACTGAATAATAATAGTAATAAGTATGACATGTGATTTGTGAGTATAATCTACTCAAATAAAGGCTTCAAAAGGTTACCAACGACAGAAACGTTGTGATAACAACAACAAAGATGAGGACAATAGACCTCATGTAAATAATGTAATTACTGAAACTCCTCATTCCATCAATATATGTATATTTCTGCGTATCTGTGTGTATATTCAGCCGCTAAGGAAAGATATTTGCGCGTATGGCTATTTAAGTGGGTGTAAGTGTTTGCCTTTGCCTTAACCTCATTTTAAAATATTGAATACCATTTTAGAAGCCAAGTGCTATACAGTCGACAAAATGACCCTTTATTGTGTCACATATCAACTACCTAGGTTGCATTATATTCAGCGACGCCACACTCTATAACGCTAAATATAACAAAGTGATAAATAATGCAAATCATGTTTTGAGGTGATGATGAAAACATACCTGGTATATATATCAGGAAATACAATATAAAACTTAAAATAATCATCTTGCTAGGTCCCATTTTGCACAGTCGAATCTTGGATATATCGTCATCAGATAGCTGACTCGCTACAGGAGGCCAGCCACAAAGCATCATGTTTATTGTCATTCACTGCTGTTGCAACACAATGCAGACTTTTTACATCAGACAACATTGATCCAATTATAAAAATAAAATGGTTGGATTTTACAGTTTATCAAATCTTAGGTGTTTTCTTTTTCAAATGAAATAAGTTCAAGAAATATTTTTCTACTTTGTTATTGAAGTTCCTGATACGCATGTGCTTAATAACAAACGCTACCTATTAATGCGACCTAATAATATATACAAAATTTTAATTTAATGAATATCTAATAAAAAAGAGTTTTTGTTAATAAAGTGCGCCACATAAGACGAGCGATTAATATTATCGGATTAAGAGTAAAAAAAAAAGGTCAATACTTATCAAATGTGAATCTAGTTTCGTACATTTTTAAATTTACATTTTAAATTTAGCGTAGAAATAAGTGTTTATAGAAACATGATTTTCTTCTAATCAATGCATCCATTTTTGTCTTGAATATATATATATATATATATATATATATATATATAATTTATATCTATTTTTATATTGAGCACTGCTTTTTAAAAATCAAAACACACACACACATATACATACACACACAAACACACACATATATATATGTGTGTGTGTGTGTCTGCGTGTGTCTGTGTTGTACGTCTGTACATATTGTAAAGACAATGCAGAATTTTTAGATCAGACACCATTGATTACAAAATTACAAAAATGGAATGATTTGATTTTTACGGTTTAACAACACTTAGGTTTTTATTTCTAGCTGATTGGAGTTTAAGAAAAATTAGTTGTTTTTTTTTTTTTTTGTTTTTTTTTGCAAGTGAATATTTCTTTAAAATTTTTGTGAATAGCAATGATTTCTCTTTTTCCTTATAAAATTCATTCTTTTAACTGACAGGTGGAGGCAAGAGATGGATTCATATCTTTCCCAAGGACATTTTGCGCGACTGGAATTCGAATTCATTCCGACGCACTACCAATTACACACCTCCACACCCATTTACAAGACACTAGTCAAAATATTTGGAGATTGTCTGTGCAGTATAAGATTCGATTAGAGTAATGTTAATAAAACTGCGGTTTCCATGAAGCACGAACCATATCACAATAATATAGACGCTGTCATAAACCCGGATCCGCCTACGATAGCCTTTATATCAGTGTTGCGGTTGATTAATTTTTACGGTTCACTGGGACCGTGGTTCATCACGAACTCAGAATTTGGCAATCAGCTAATGCCACAGGGATTAAATCGGTGCTGGGAAAGGCTCATCTCTGAGAACAGGCGAAGTAGGGTGGGTAGAAGACGCACGTGCAGTAAATGTCTTCTGTTCGTTGAACAGGAATCCAGTCGAACGTGAAGAATTAGGGAGAGGCGTCACGTTAGAATCAGTAGGACTCCTTAAAAAACACTCTTGTCTTCGCTGAAGTTTTCAATCGATACTGTACAGCAGAGTTGCTGACAAGAAGATCTAGTGACAAACTTTTCTGGTTGCGAACTCTGCCGGAAGAAAAAAAAAAAACTCCCCGCATGCATATCATTAGCTGATTCGACTTCATAACATTCCTCATGAATCTAGGTCAAAATATATACAGATGTACAACACACACACACACACACACACACACACGTACGTATGTATATATGTATTTGTGTGTGTGTGTGCGCGCAAATATATAGAAAAAATAGTAAAGAACACCTTAGGTAAATAATCCGAATTTCTTTAGCATTTTTGTTTTTATTTTTGAAAAACAGTGCTCAATACAAAAATAGAGTCTAAATTATTATTATTATTATTATTATTATTACATATATATATATATATATATATATATATATATATATATATATATATATACAGTTGGTAGCAAAAAGTATTTATTTTTCTTACATATCTCAAAAAATAACAGATCAATTTCAGCGAAACTTATAGGAAATATTTAAACGAACATTGTCGATCAAAACATAGAAGGAAAATTTAGAACCACTATTTTGAGAAACATTTATCACAATAAATAAAATAACCCATATGCAAAAGTATTTAACACCAATGCAAATATTATGCTAGAAGAGACGTGTCGTCATGATTCCTACCCATATTGATATGATGTGATATGTCGATTAATGACAGCACTGC